CTCTCCCTGAGGGGCCCGGGGGGGCGCCCCCCCCCCCACGTCAGCTCCCAACTTTCACAGAGGGGCCGGGTGGGAGCCCCTCCCATATCAGCTCCCAACTGGCACAGAGGGGCCCAGGTGGGAGCCCCTCCCATATCAGCTCCCAACTTTCACAGAGGGGCCCGGGTGGGAGCCCCCCCTCCCACGTCAGCTCCCAACTTTCACACTGCTGCTTGCGAAGGTAAATCTACCCGCTGCCCCCTCCCACGTGCTTCCCTGGCTCCTGGCCTCTCCTGCACCAGCGACCCAGTCCTCGCCTCCCAGGAGCACTGTTCTGCCAGGAGAGGACTTCACTGCCACGGGCAGCTGCTCTCCTGTGGCAGCCTCTGGTGCACCTGCAGGACAGCCTGCCCCAGAGACTCCCTCCTGCTGTGGGGCCTGGCTCTGCAGCTGGAGGATGCTGCATGCTGCCGTGCCCATGGGGACGCATCGGGGACACGGAGCTGGGGAGAGAAAACGGCCAGCGTGGGGCCTGCCCGTTGCAAAGCACTGCACAGGAGACTGGGCGCTGAACACTCGCGCCTCTGGGCCCACCACTGCAACTGGAGCCGCGGCGCTGGCCTGGGTGTCTGGTTTGCTGTTCTCCCTCCCGCCATGCCTCGATCGCCCCTTCGCGTGACTGCAGCGCTTCTCGCTCCAGCGGCGCTAGCTGTCCTCTGGTCCATGCATTGCAGAGCGGCGAGCTCTACAACGCCTAACCCCTTAGCCCTGTGGTACATTTTTAAAACATGGCATATCTGGGGGGTCGTGCGTCTACTGGTGGCACGCACCTGCTCCGTTCTTCCGAGCAAGCCAGCTCTGCGTACCCAGTGCTCCTTCTACCTGCCAACATCCAGTCCACACGGCTGACAAGGGCCAGGTAGCGTGACACGTGAAGCAAGAACGCCAGCAGCCTGCGTTTGCAGGGGTGGCTGGAACGCCGGCAGCCCCAGTGACGGAGGAGGACGGGAAGGAATCAGTCTCTTCCCTGCAATGTTAGGACTGCCTCTCAGCTTACGCATCACCCTCTAATCTGTGCACAATCCCAGGCCCTGTCTACCCCACACACAGGTGCAGCACCAGCAGGAGGGGAAAGCAGAGGTGTGCGTGGCATCAGCTGCCTCCCCCCTGCCAAGGGAGAAGGGACGGCCCTTTCACCTCAGCAGCGCTCCTCCTGCAGACCCCAGGCCCTGGGCTCAGAGGGAGTGAAAAGCAGCCGTTTCCCTGGATTCCTGCTACCCTGGGCCATCTCTTCCCTTCTGGTCTCTTCAGCCAGCTCAGACCAGGAGCCGGGCACTCCAGCTCTGCTTCCCCGCAACCTCCTCCTACTCAGGAAGGGGACCAGCAGGGAACTAGAGCCTACCCCACTCCAGGCAGAGCTACAGTGTACGGTCACACCAGAGCACGCTCCCCGCAGCACAGGAAATGGCAGAGCCAGACTCCCAGGCTTCTGGGATCATCAGGAAACTGCTCTCCCGAGGGAAGAGGCGGCAGGGAGCAGTTTACCCCAGGCAGGAGTAGCCAGCCTGGCTCTGAACTGCTTCTGCTAGGAGACAGCCGAGGGAGGGGGGAGAGAACTGATGTGATCGGTCCAAGTGGTGTCTGGCAGCAGAGAAAAGAATCCACTAGTGAAAAGCTAGTCAGCCACACGAGGGAGCGAGAAAGCCGGCCTGCACGGACCGGCCTGGTGTCTGAGAAGGGAGGGTACTTGGTGCGCATGGAGCGAGCAGGCAAAGCAGATTCTGCTTGGACTAGTAAGTTTCCCAGACAGCCAGTCTCCAGCAGGGGAGGGGCTTGCTCCAGAAGCGCTGAGGTGAACTGTGCCCTTCCACAGGACACCGTGCTGCTACCCTGGTGTCCCCGCAATCCGTCTTGACACCTACTACTGGCATCAGGAGCACCAGCCCCAGGCAAGCCCCACGCAGGTATCTCTGGCTGCAGTGACACTTCCAGCACCCAGCCCTCCTGACGTGCACCCGCATGGTGCTGACTGTACAGTTCAGGCTGACAGCCATGCCAGCAGCCCAGCTCTCAGTGAGAGCTCTGAAACAAGCAGGCCAGCAGCAATGCTCCAGCCTGCCCAGGACTCTTCATTTTTGCATAGCCCCAGAGCCACTGAGCCTATTTGATTCCAGGCTACTAGACCCGAGCAAGACTTCCCTGCATTTGCTTCTCTGGGGGGTAGGGACAGTAAGAGAAGTGCCTGGTCCCCCAGCAGGAACATTTTGGGTACAGAGGGGTAGCTCTATTGTGGAGGATGCAGTAGTCGGGGCAAGGGCGGGGGAAGAGCGATCAGTCCCACAGGCAGGAACCGAAGTGTCGAACCGCTAAACCGCACACTTCCAAAATCCAACCAGAACTCCTTACACCCCAGCCCCTCCCTCCTGTTCTCTAGCAAATAGCATGTCAACACACATCCCCCACTCAGGGCCCAGGACAGACCTGGCCTGGGCTCTCTGCCTCAGCTGTGGCTGGTGGTGGTAGAGTGTAGTGAACCAAACTGGGGATCGCAGGAACAAAGGCAGCTGGCTGCTGCTCCAGAAACTGGATTCTAACCCTTCTCTCCCCCAACAGAAAAGAGGCAAATATTTTCTTCAAGGATTGACTCAAATATTAAAGAGGACGGCAACAAATGTAAGTGACAGCTCAGAACACATTTATTCAGATTCTTGGCTCACTAGGCTAGAAAATGGTGATTTAGGGTTTTGAAATTTGTCAGGCTACATTGGGATGTAAATAGGAATTCAATTAATAACTTTCAAATGTTTGTGCATTTTAACTAAAATGACCTTGATATATTAAAAACAAGATTGCCCCCAGATGTTTAAAGCTTAGTCACTTAAAGATGCACATTCTTGTAGGATTTTTGAATACCTAATTTACTGAAATCAGCTCCTAGTTGGTTTCTCAACTATGAACTAGCCCAAACGAAGAAAGCATTCTCTGTAACTTCTAGCTAAACTGAAGGCAAAAGTTCTCAACAGGAATTGAAAAATAAGTATTTGCTCTTCTGTAGAGTCTGATTGTGATACTTAATGAAATTTATTAAACCACTGTTTATCAAGCTAGCTTGAGTTCACCCCAGAAGATAGCTCCCCTGCAATTCTGTATAATAAAACCGCATTAACAAATTCAGGTTTGGGAACTCACTGATCAAACATTTATTTAAACTGTTTTAATAGATCACAGTAAGGCGGGTCACTGCTAATTTCAAGTTTAATTGTACACAAGTATTGGTAATTTGGATCACTTCGGGACTGCCTGTTGTATTTATTCCCTCTGAAGCACTGGCTGTCAGAAGACAGGAAACTGAGCTAGATGGACTGGCCATTCGTATGTTCTTACATCTTTGTTTCTCATCATTTTAATCCAACAGTGCAGGTGGACACTACGGTCTATTTAGTCAGCCTTCTGGTTTAGTAGACAACTTCAGCAACGTAAACACCACTGCTGGAGTACCTGAGGCTGAGTTTCTCTGGTACTCCATAGCGTCAATCCTCTGTTTAGCACAGACCGGGCCTCGTTTTCTAGGTCTGACTGGTGACCATGTGGCCTGCTTTGCAGAAGGCTAAGCAATAGCAGCTGTAAGGCAGCAATGGGAACCATGCTTTCAATATCTGAAGTGTGATGAAGTTCCAAGTACTCTAAACAAAAGATCAGGCCCTAGGCTGCTCCAATTGGCACCAGAAGTGAGCTGCCACGTGGCTTTATTCTGTGTTTTGGTTTCCCTGCTGTCAGTGAGATGCCACCCACTGATCTCCCAGGCGGGAGACACCATGCTCACTAACGCCCACGCAGCGCTAAGACACTAGGATGAGAGCACCACAGGAAAGCCCGGGAGTTACTCTATTGTGCACTTGGATGGCAAACAGTAAAAACGTGGGTTATGCACCGAGGACAAACCTCAATACCCATTCAACCTGCTTCACACTCCTGCCCGTGCATGGAGTGAGGCGAGGCCCGGGGTGGTAGCATGCAATCGGGCCACTGATAGCTGGCCTACATGCATAGGAAACGCCTGGGATAAGGGTGCCCAGGCATCTAACTGGAGTGAGGATGCAGTTCTGTCCGATGCACTACCAAACAGCACAGGCGCCAGTCCAGGAACCAATGCCTGAAATAGCAACAGGCGCCTAATCTACTCCCCCTTCAGGGAGAGCGCCAATGGCTGGGCCATCCCAAAGGCCTGGCTGGAAAGAGGCACTGGACTGGGACAGCCCTGGAGCCAATACTGTTCCCTGGGGAAGATCTGGGCTCCAGAACCTGAACATTCAGCAGAGTTCACTCCCTGGCACTTAGAGAAAAGCTTCACACTCCAAAGCACCCGCAGCAGACGCTGCTGCCAGCCCGAGCACTCCACCACTGGCCGTGCTTCTGACCCACAAGGCCCTACTGCAGCCGAGCACTCCTCCACTGGCCGTGCTTCTGACCCCCAAGGCCCTACTGCAGCCGAGCACTCCTCCACTGGCCGTGCTTCTGACCCCCAAGGCCCTACTGCAGCCGAGCACTCCTCCACTGGCCGTGCTTCTGACCCCCAAGGCCCTACTGCAGCCGAGCACTCCTCCACTGGCCGTGCTTCTGACCCCCAAGGCCCTACTGCAGCCGAGCACTCCTCCACTGGCCGTGCTTCTGACCCCCAAGGCCCTACTGCAGCCGAGCACTCCTCCACTGGCCGTGCTTCTGACCCCCAAAGCCCTACTGCAGCCAAGCACTCCTCCACTGGCCGTGCTTCTGACCCCCAAGGCCCTACTGCAGCCGAGCACTCCTCCACTGGCCGTGCTTCTGACCCCCAAGGCCCTACTGCAGCCGAGCACTCCTCCACTGGCCGTGCTTCTGACCCCCAAGGCCCTACTGCAGCCGAGCACTCCTCCACTGGCCGTGCTTCTGACCCCCAAGGCCCTACTGCAGCCGAGCACTCCTCCACTGGCCGTGCTTCTGACCCCCAAGGCCCTACTGCAGCCGAGCACTCCTCCACTGGCCGTGCTTCTGACCCCCAAGGCCCTACTGCAGCCGAGCACTCCTCCACTGGCCGTGCTTCTGACCCCCAAGGCCCTACTGCAGCCGAGCACTCCTCCACTGGCCGTGCTTCTGACCCCCAAGGCCCTACTGCAGCCGAGCACTCCTCCACTGGCCGTGCTTCTGACCCCCAAGGCCCTACTGCAGCCGAGCACTCCTCCACTGGCCGTGCTTCTGACCCCCAAGGCCCTACTGCAGCCGAGCACTCCTCCACTGGCCGTGCTTCTGACCCCCAAGGCCCTACTGCAGCCGAGCACTCCTCCACTGGCCGTGCTTCTGACCCCCAAGGCCCTACTGCAGCCGAGCACTCCTCCACTGGCCGTGCTTCTGACCCCCAAGGCCCTACTGCAGCCGAGCACTCCTCCACTGGCCGTGCTTCTGACCCCCAAGGCCCTACTGCAGCCGAGCACTCCTCCACTGGCCGTGCTTCTGACCCCCAAGGCCCTACTGCAGCCGAGCACTCCTCCACTGGCCGTGCTTCTGACCCCCAAGGCCCTACTGCAGCCGAGCACTCCACCACTGGCCGTGCTTCTGACCCACAAGGCCCTACTGCAGCCGAGCACTCCTCCACTGGCCGTGCTTCTGACCCACAAGGCCCTACTGCAGCCGAGCACTCCTCCACTGGCCGTGCTTCTGACCCACAAGGCCCTACTGCAGCCGAGCACTCCTCCACTGGCCGTGCTTCTGACCCACAAGGCCCTACTGCAGCCGAGCACTCCTCCACTGGCCGTGCTTCTGACCCACAAGGCCCTACTGCAGCCGAGCACTCCTCCACTGGCCGTGCTTCTGACCCACAAGGCCCTACTGCAGCCGAGCACTCCTCCACTGGCCGTGCTTCTGACCCACAAGGCCCTACTGCAGCCGAGCACTCCTCCACTGGCCGTGCTTCTGACCCACAAGGCCCTACTGCAGCCGAGCACTCCTCCACTGGCCGTGCTTCTGACCCACAAGGCCCTACTGCAGCCGAGCACTCCTCCACTGGCCGTGCTTCTGACCCACAAGGCCCTACTGCAGCCGAGCACTCCTCCACTGGCCGTGCTTCTGACCCACAAGGCCCTACTGCAGCCGAGCACTCCTCCACTGGCCGTGCTTCTGACCCACAAGGCCCTACTGCAGCCGAGCACTCCTCCACTGGCCGTGCTTCTGACCCACAAGGCCCTACTGCAGCCGAGCACTCCTCCACTGGCCGTGCTTCTGACCCACAAGGCCCTACTGCAGCCGAGCACTCCTCCACTGGCCGTGCTTCTGACCCACAAGGCCCTACTGCAGCCGAGCACTCCTCCACTGGCCGTGCTTCTGACCCACAAGGCCCTACTGCAGCCGAGCACTCCTCCACTGGCCGTGCTTCTGACCCACAAGGCCCTACTGCAGCCGAGCACTCCTCCACTGGCCGTGCTTCTGACCCACAAGGCCCTACTGCAGCCGAGCACTCCTCCACTGGCCGTGCTTCTGACCCACAAGGCCCTACTGCAGCCGAGCACTCCTCCACTGGCCGTGCTTCTGACCCACAAGGCCCTACTGCAGCCGAGCACTCCTCCACTGGCCGTGCTTCTGACCCACAAGGCCCTACTGCAGCCGAGCACTCCTCCACTGGCCGTGCTTCTGACCCACAAGGCCCTACTGCAGCCGAGCACTCCTCCACTGGCCGTGCTTCTGACCCACAAGGCCCTACTGCAGCCGAGCACTCCTCCACTGGCCGTGCTTCTGACCCACAAGGCCCTACTGCAGCCGAGCACTCCTCCACTGGCCGTGCTTCTGACCCACAAGGCCCTACTGCAGCCGAGCACTCCTCCACTGGCCGTGCTTCTGACCCACAAGGCCCTACTGCAGCCGAGCACTATCAGCTGAACACGACCTGCAGCAGCATTGCTGGCAGCAAAGTGAGAAGGGCATGAAGCCAGCCTGATCGAGCTGCACAGTCTGCTGCCACAGGCATCCTATGGTGCCATGTGCACAGCTTCAGGCATGGATTGGTGTGGGCCGAGTCCAGGGGCTAACATGGAAGCAGCCTGCAAACCTCAGGGCAGTGAGGTCAGTGCCAGCCCCTCTCGGGTCTCTGGAGCCCATGTCAAGGGAGGGGCTGGGGACCTGGATACCGCCTTGGGGAGCATGCTGCTGACTCCTGCCAACAGGGCAATTGTAACAACTGTGTCAGGGCACACAGGGGTGTAGGCCCAGCTCCTCTGCCCTTCCACCCTCTGCAGCCCCATTACCTTTGCACCACACTCCGCTTCCTTCTGCAGGCAGAACCCAATGAACCTGGGATCAGCCACCTTCACCAAGATGTTGTCAACGCAGTACATGTGGATGCTCCAGATGCCACGCCGCTCCATGTCCTCCACAATGCCATGGGCACCCAGGGCTCGGTACAGCCCCCCGTTGCCATCTGCTCAGGCAAGAACACATTATGCACTAGAGGCCTGCAGGAGTGAGCATCCGAGACCGTTCCCAGCCGGGCGCCACGGGACCCAGAGACTGAGAGAAGCTGCCAGGGAGCAGGCTAGACATTGGGAAGAGGGGCCAGGGAGCCCAGGCCAGATCTCCTCTGCCCCTGGTGCCCTGTCCCATCCCATCCCTCATGCAGGGGCCTGGCACTGCAACCCTGCAGCAGAGGCTGGGCCAAACAGAAGCCATCATGCAGCCCTGAGCAGGGACACAAACAGTTCCTGGTTTAGCTGTTCCACGTCGGGGCCTGCTGCGAGGTCCCGGCCCGGCGTGGATGAACCGCTTTGCCCGCTCTGGGGGAGAGGAAGAGCAGTCGTAGCCAGAGCAGCGTGTGCAGGGACAAGGGGGCGACAAGACTGAAGTGTCTATGGGGACGGTGGTGAGCAAGGTGCCCAGGGTCAGATCATGAGGACCAAAGGGCTTGTTCTAACAGCAGAGATGCAAAATTGGGGCCAGGCCTCAGCTCAATACAAGTGCCATTGTTCCCTAGGGGCTGCAGGGCACCAATGGCCAGGGTCCAACTAACAATGGCCTGATACCCTGACCCTCCCCCACCAATGGCATATGGGGAGATCCCTGCATGGATACACAATTCTGCACCTGGACCCACATCCAGAGTCCCAGATACCCATGGAGATACAGTGGATACCTGTGGACTTGCAGGGCTCTACATATGGGGTAAGCGAGCTCTTTGGCATCCCAGAGCTACTCCCTCAGCAAGTCAAGGAAGGAGTGGTAGGACAGGAGTGGCTCTGCAGAAACACACCCTCCCCCAGGGATAAATAGGAACCCAGCTGCCCCTAGATAACTAGGTACCATACAAGAGGGGCACTCCTAGTCTGCAGGCAAAAGGCCTGGCTGTGTTAGAGCCATGTCTGCCTAAGGGAGAGGGACAGGCAGGCAGGCAGGCGCACGCTAACAGCAGAGACAGGGATGTAATGGCATTAATCCTGCAAAATGCTTTGGCAAACTTGGCCTGAAGAGAAGCAGTGATCTGCCTGAGAACCAGCCTGTGCGCATGTCACCCCCACAAGTCCTCACCCTCCAATCTACCCTGTCCCCCCGAGAGATGTCCTGGGCGAGGCGGGCGGTGTTCCTACACTGCACTCAAAGCATTGCCGTCCACTGCTCTCGGGGACTGCCCCGCTTGCGGCCAGCCAAAGCAATACTGAAAATCCATCGGAAATGGGGGCATGGTGCTGAATTTGGCACAGGCCACGAAACAGGTTTGCAACATCCACAGGACTCTAACAACGCAATTCTGCATCTAACACCTGCCAGCAGCTGGCTCCATCTGTCTGAGGAGTGCGAATGAATTTTCACTGCCCTCCTACCCCCAGGAGGTTTACTCCCATCTCCTCAAGGCTTTTCACCATTACCCTCCAGATCTTGCACTGGAAACCCTCCAGCCAGAATGATCTCTTGGTGTCCCAGGCCTGCTGGAGCAGTTCACACCCCTAAACCCCCACTAAGGGGCTGTCAACTGCACAGACCTGGCGCCATAGAAACTTTGCCCTTCTCTTCCAGAAGGATCTTGCCATCAAAATCCATGGCAGGCAGCATCCCTTGCTGGAAGATGATCACATTTTCCTGCTTTAAGCCGAAGTAATTGTGCTCCAAGAAGAACTCTTTTGTAGATTCCATGGTTCTGCTGCTCGTCATGATGTACCTGCCACAGCAAGAACAACCCAAGTACGTCTCTGGGGGCCAGACTCTGTGCCTGCCTAATCAACACAGGATTGCTTCTGGAGCCCACATACAGCCAACAGGACCCTTGGGACCAGGACGCATCAGAGCAGCTCACAAGTCTAACGCTGAGTCACATCAGCATTTCCCCAGACCAGTGAACTCTGCAGCATCGCATCCACTGACACATCAGTGCGGACGCCAGGAAGGGTCCTGGCAGGGGAAAGCAGGATGCTGTCCAGCGGGAAGTAAGACTGGCGCTAGCTCTCTTCAGGGGTCAGTAGACTGAGCTGTCTAGATCATCTTTGGAAGGTTCACCCCCCCCAACCTCATGGCACCAAGTAGGCTTGAAGGGAAGCTGGGGACACAAGCCTGCTTCTCTCCTTGGCTCAGGAAGTGTCCTGGCAAAACCAACACCAAGTCCACACAGACCTCGACACATTGTTAGCATGCTCCTTTGAGCCTCCTTGAGCAGAGCTGGACAATACTGCAGGGTAATTTGGCTGAGGACGCTGTCAATGGCATCTAGCTCTGCTGCTGCATGTTGCTAACTAGCTTCTGAGCCCCCTCCAGCAGCCACCCAAGGGGTCTCCAGACCTTTGGGGATTCTGCGGGAACAGGCAGCGCAGCGCATAGTAGGATAAGGATTCTAATACTAGCAACTGTCATCAGGAATATGGTAAATCTGTACTGACGCTGGTCTCCCTCAATGCCCTAGGCAGGACAGTAGCGCAGACCCAAGATGGACAGCTGGAGTGGGGCACCTACTGCCCACAGACCAGATCCAAGCCCTTGCTCTTTTTCATCCAGCCTGTGGACCACACATTCAACCCAGTCTGGGAGAGCACCAAGGGACAGGGCTTCCCGCCCATGGGGCTGGAGTCACAAGCCCCAGCTAGCCCCACTGTGGGGGGGAGCCCCAAGCATGTGCGTTGAATGTGTATGTGTGGCACGCCATTTGTTTTGTCAGCGGGTTAGCAGCCCCGATACTCTTGCATCCTTTTTTGTATCCCAGAGCGAGGAGGACACACAAGCTGCTCACAGCGGCAAGGATACAGCAGGGCCGGAAGCCAGTGACCAGAGGAGACACTTTCAAGAGGAAAATGAACCAACTGACCAGGGAGAAACAGACATGACACCAGTGCACCTTAACCTGGTAATTTACAGCCTCAGAATTGGCATCCCATGTCTGCATTAGGACTTCCTGTGGGGCGAGCAGCAATACCCCTGCCGACTGCCCTCATGTCAGCAAGGTCAAAGCAGAGCTCAGTCGTGCCCAAGTCTGCACAAGGGAAACAAAGCCAGGACCAGACCCAAAGCCCTATCAGGAGGCCTGACAATCCACTTCCCTTACCATGGAATGACACACTCAGTGCCATGCTGTTCTTCAGCCAGCTGCTGCAGTTTCAGAATACGCTCAGCTTGGATCTGGGAGAGCGTTTTGTGGGATGGCAACCCCACGTCATACATTCCCTTGGGATAAGAAACACCCAGCCGCGTCCCCTGTCCACCCGCGAGGAGGAGGACAGCTACTTTGCTCTGAGAAATCTGATGGAGACCTAAACAAGAAAGAAAAGTAATCAAAAGCTTGCCCTTTGCACATGACACCTTCCAGCTTCTGAGCAGCAGCAGCACTGGAGCCACAAACCTCTAGCACTCAAGCTGCCTGGCTCTGGGGACGAAGGAAGCACAGCCAATCCCACAGGCTCTGCAGTTAGGCAAGGGGACGGGATGGGAGGGGGAGAGGAACATGCATACTGCTCTGTTGTCTGGGTCAATCATAGCCAAGGAACTCTGTCTGGAAGAGACAAGAATGAGCTTCAGAGCAGCCCCAACAGGACTAGACTAAGTTCTGGGCATGCATGTGGTGTTTACCCCACACCCTTCTTGAGAACAGCCAGCATCACACCACTCTACCCAGGAGTGGCCTGGAAGGGCAGGGAGGGGATCCTTTGCAGGGACAGAACCTCAGCCAGCAGTTTCATGTAGTGACTGTGTGGGAGGGGCTGTCAGATGGTCCCACCAGCAGCCATGTAGTCCAGGTTCAGTCAAGTCTCTTTAGATTTGTATTTTACCCCAAAGCATTGGGACCCACTGTGCTGGGCTTCAAGGACCAGGGAGTCAGCTGCCCTCAACTCCTTGTGGTCTGCCAGACCTGGGACAGCCTGGACCAGTGATCCTCAGACTGAGGCTAGCAAGCCACATGATCTCCTGCAGCTGTGTCTTAATGCCAAGGCATCTTCTAAGTTACTAAACAATGAGGGTACGTCTTCTAGGTTAATCACCACCGACAGCTGAAAAGCCAGTCACGTTGCAGAGTGTGTATGCACACCACCCACTTGTCATGCTATTGAAATCAGGCTGGACTAGCTCTAGTAAATCAAACACGGAACTCACAGCTGCAGCCCTTTCGAGTAATTGCTAGTTTGGCTGCTAATCCCTGCCCCAGCCCAGACGAGCCGCACCGCGGGAGATAAGCGCTGGCCACGCCAGCCTGCGCT